GACTTCATCGAATAAAAATAAAATTATTGTAATAATAACTGTTTCTCTTCAGAATTTTCATTATTATTTTTCAAAAACTTATTTTCAAATTCATTTGGTTTCAATTTTAGAGCCAAAGAGCATTAAAAAAAACACTAAAAAAGATAGAAAAGAAAAAAAAAAAAAAAAGAAAAATGAAAGAAATGCCACTATCCCATAAAAATTGTTACTTTTGCATACACATTTCATACACAATACGTACAACTATTATGGGATTGTTTTTCTTCACAGGAAGTAATAAACCCAATTTGTGTTTGACTTCAAGAACCAAAAAACAAAAGTCGAATTTCTCTTTCTTTTCTGTATTTCAAATAGCTGACCAGCAATTATTTGTCAAAAGACACAAGGTAAATAATCAAGTTGGTACAAATAATTCAAATTTAAAATTTCAATATTTAACAGACATAAAAATAGCTAAATATAATTATTTCATGACACTTTGAATTTAAAAATAAAAATATTAAAATCTGCAAACTAATACAACATAAATTAGCTACCAGTGGAACTTGAACCTGAATCGAGCATAATTATATTGTATTTATTAATCCATGACAATATACTTCAAGAATTCAACAAAAATTTATTTATTTATATACATTTTGAATAAGTTTCCAATTTTGGGTGGATTATAATCAGAACAATTAACAGTAAAGCTTTGATAAAGCTAAAATTACTTTTTCTACAAAAATGTAATTTTCATATAAATGTTTTCACACTAATTCTTTTAAAGAGCTTCCTTCGTTGATGCCTCAATTTCATGAATTTAAGCATAGTACTAGATTGGCAGCTAGGTCACATTGTTTTATTATTGAAATTGTTAAATGTCACCATAAGTTCTGTATTAATAGTTTCTTTTTGTGCACTTCTCACTTATAGAACTCTCTTCAAGTTTTTTTTATTTTCCTGTTAACTCTGATCATGAAAAATTTAAATGGAATGTCAGTTGTCATTTTCTGTCTCCTTGAATACAGTTCTTTTATTGTCCTCTCTTCTCAGATACGTTTTCTCAGGTCCTTTCACTCTCAGTAACTCCTTAGATCTTAGTGGCTTTACTGCCTTGATTATTAAAAAGTTTTTAAAAATTTCTTTATTTTTTTTTTTTATTCCATCATCACTTTGTTTGTTTAATTGCATTTCATTATTAATTAAGAACAACACAAATGATTAATTTATATTTTAAACAAACACTGACAAATTAACAAAATAAAATATAATTATTCATTAATTAATCAACTAAAGACATTGTAAACTAATGGATTTTCCAAAAGGGAGACATTTAGCTCCAAGGGAGGAATTTAAGTTAAAGTAAGAATTGGAGAGGGAATTTGGTTATATGTGAAATTCATGACAATTGAAAATGATTGAGGAAACAGATGATTACATAAGGAGGAATTTGACCTAGAACTCTGAGAATCACTGACTAAAAATATCTCTTTCATGAATTACTTTTATCTTCTTGTCCAATGAACAAAAGAATTTTCTGACATTTTTATCCAGCTTCACATAAAATAGATTATAAATTACAAAAAAATTACTGATTCTCATTCATGTTGTATAAAGGGAAAAATTAAGAAAGTTTCATAATCTTCAAAAATAGTCTATCTATAAAGTAACATTCCTTTTATATATATATATATATATATATATAAAAGTTGTAGCCTCTGCCTGTTTGCTATTGAACTCCTAGAGTTTTGTAGATCCCCCATAACCATACATATTCTGAAACTACATTATCCAGTGTACTTGGATATGTATATTTTATTTTGATTAATGGAAGTCACTAGTGGTGGGGAGTATTAACCACCCACTGAAAGTTTTTTTCCCCTTTGATATAAATTCAATTTAAATTTAAACAAGGAAATGACTCCTATCCAAAATATAGAAGGAGAAAGCCAGAAGATGGAGGTCACATCGACAAGATCATTGAGTAATATTGAAATGCACCATTTTTCTCCACAAATTATAACAATGATTTAAAATCAATCATCATTTTCTTGCAAAAAAAAAAATGTGTGACATGCAGCAAGACACACATAATTAGGCTTTTATACATATATATATATATAGATATATATCTGATAAAAATATAGTTTTAAGCTGAGCTATATTTATGGGTTAAAGTGTTCAGTATTAGGGATAGAGTGCATGGCCTGAAGACTGCATTCAAGCATGAAACAGACTGTTGGCAGCTGATGTTGACCTCAGTGTCTCCTTTTATATATAGATATATTGAAGAAATTCTAAGACCAAATGGAAAAAGTTTATTTGTAATATATTTCATCCATTAGGACTTCATTGGACTTTTGATGTTGTTATGTGCATGAATGAGAGATGCTGGTAGTTTCAAAATGTTTTGAAAGAATTTTTTAAAATAATTTTTGCAATCTAGAAAGTGTTTTAATTATTGAAAAAATTATTTCTTTAAATTTTGAAACTACCAGCATCTCTCATTTATGTGCATGTGTAGACACAACAACATTAACAAACCTAGTCTGATGAAGTTCTAAAGGATGAAACATGTTACAAATAAACTTTTTCCATTTTTGTTTACAATTTCTCAATACTGTTCTTAATATATAAAATATATATATATTGTTATCTCATTCATATATATATATATATATATATATATATATATATATATATATATATATATATATATATGCTAGTGGTAATAATTTAATAGTGCTCAATGTAAAAAAACAGAGCTAAAATTTATACTAAGAATAAATGTCTCTATCTCTCTCTATATATATATGGGGGATAAATTTTAAGGAATTAATGGATTTATTTTTAATCTGGCATTTTTATTACTCTCTCTCTCTCTCTCTCTCTCTCTCTCTCTCTCTCTATATATATATATATATATATATATATATATATATATATATATATATATATATATATATATATGGGATAAATTTTATGGAATAATGGATTTATTTTTAATCTGGCATTTTATTACTTCAAACATTATTATAGTGGATACGTTGTATTTGAAATAAATACCCTCACCATTTTCATTTATTAACCAGTGTGTATTACATCTGTCGGCCTGTGCATTGCATTCGAGAAATCTTAGTTATAAAAAAAAAAGTGCTCCCTGCCTGGGATTGAACATGTGTTCTCCTTTGTAGGGGAATCAATGGTTTAACCCTGCAGGTTTTACCTGTGCTTAGCCATTAAGACCACCACATTAAGCAATAATAGTAATAGACAATGTTAAAAATTTAAAATGTGGCATCTATTTCAAATGTGAAGTATCCACACTAATAATGTTTGAAGTAATATGTGTGTGTATGAATGTATGTATGTATATATATTTATTCTTATTCAAATAACAGATGAGTTTCTTATAGGAGTCAATGGCCAGCATGCAACCAGGACATGGTAAACTCCTATCCCAAAAAACCAGTGATTGTAGCATCATCTGACATATGACACACAGTGCACCAGTGCAGGACATAGTGCTATGATTGAGAAATTGTGCATTGCAGGGCACAGGAAACTGAGCACTTGTGCAGGTTTTTCAGTAAAAATTTAGAATTTACTGAACCCTCATTCACCATTCTTGATGGTGGAAATTTAGCCATTTTATGATATATATATATATATATATATATATATATATATATATTACCGCCCACTCAAATAACAGTTAGAATAATACCATAACACACCACTGGCCATCATATATAAATAGTCGAGCCAAAACACAACAACGTACATGGCCTGATGATTGTATTTAAACATATATATATATATATATATATGCAATACTAATCACTATCTTCTGTCTTCCTGAATTGCTTTCTACTGGCTTTATCACCTTACTTGGGATGAAATGATTATAATATATATATATATATATATATATATATATATATATATATATATATATATATAGTAAAAAGAAAAACTCTCAATAAAATTGATGTCTTTAATAAGATATAACATTCTTCTTCATAGGCCATTGGTTTTACACCCAACCTCTTCATAATTATTCATAGTTTCTCTTTTTACACTTCAGCAAGTTTCCTAGAACATCTATGTAAATGATTTTTAATTCTCGTTTCCTTCTGTCTCCCTCTCTATATATTTTAGTGTGAGCTTCAGTCTTTATTAGTATCTTTCTATCTTCAACTCAGTGATTCCTGACACTAAAATTAGTATTCCTTTTTCTTACTGGTAAATTCCTCTCTTTGAACTCATTTTTATTCTTTTAAATACTGGTGCATCACCAAAATTATTACAGATTAAAGAAAGGTTTATTTTGATAAACATAGAATTTTCCAGCAATGGAGAAATGTTTGTTATAAATTAAGAAGAAAAATACATGCAGTTTATTAAGAGCATAGGTTAATAAAAAAAAATAAAAATCATGCTATAAATAGAAACAATTTTTATGGTGTTTTTTTTCTTTTTTTTTTTTTCAACTATGCCCAGGATATAAACACAGTAAAATAGCCTATGGCAGGATAACATATTCCAATCAGATCAATCCACTGGTTCATAGACTTTTTAAAGAAAATAATGAACATGTCATAATTTTGCATTACATATTGAATAATGTATAATTATCAACATGTAACATTTAGGTTGTCATGAAATAATTGTACTTTACTATGAAAAAAACAAAAACACCAAGAATGATGTACTGGAGAGTCTGAGTTTTACATCTCTTGGAGAAAAAAAAAGAATAGAGACTTGAAACTATGTCACAGCCATAACAGTATAGACCGATACTGTTTGATGTCACTAAGTGCTTATTTTTTAAGCATTTTTCTTTTCATTCCTATTGTTTTTATATCAGCAAATGGTGGTGGTTATACTGTTGGTGTTGGTGAGGGTATTTGAAAAAGGTCATCCAATCATTTCATTTGGTCTTTTTTCTTATATGATTCCTTTTTCTTTTGTCTTTTTCTTTTTGCTTTGTAAAATTTTCCCTTCGTCTTCTGAATTCATATTGTATATTTTGCCTCCGTGCCATCAACAGTTAACAAAACCACAGTTCGATTGTCAAGCCACACGAGTCGGACCAGTTTCAAAAGGTTGGTCATTGGTGTTACATGACACGGAGGTGTGGAGAGTTGTTTCACACACTTGGTTTGTTGGGAGCCAATGCCAAAGATGTTGGATGAAGCTGTCTGTTGAGATAAAAAAAAAAAAAAACAAGAAATGGAAATCAAACAAGTGAAGATAAAAAGAAACTAAATTTTGCAAGAAAGTTGCTTTATATTAAGCAAGAGTCTCCATATTATGACCCTGTGACTTGCCACAGGATTTAATTTCTTCTGTAAATGCATATATTTTTCTTTTGATCCAAATTATACTGCGCAGATTAAAAAGATTCAAAATGATTTTTTTGCTTGACTCTCAGAAATATGTAAAATATATGATACTAAGTTTATAGTGATTGACAACATATTTTCTAGATTAAATATCTTGTATTAATTAACAAGATGAAATATCTTGTATTGACTGACAATATATTTTAGAAATGAAATATCTTGTATTGACTGACAATATATTTTAGAAATGAAATATCTTGTATTGACTGACAATATATTTTAGAAATGAAATATCTTGTATTGACTGACAATATATTTTAGAAATTAAATATCTTGTATTGACAGACAATATATTTTAGAAATTAAATATCTTGTATTGACTGACAATATATTTTAGAAATTAAATATCTTGCATTGACAGACAATACATTTTAGAAATATCTTTTATTGATTGACAAGATCTGTTGCTAGCAGCCGTTTAAAAGATCAGTATCACTGTGTATATCTTTTAGTTGATACAAAATTTCAAACCCCTAAAACTATAATGTAACTATTCGCATACCAATGAAATATGCAAATCGATTAGTATGTTATTCTACGCAAAAAAGGCAGATGATGAAGACAACCTGTCTAAGAGAAGGAAAACTCTGAATTTCAAACTGTGGAAACAGCAATGTTAAACCACTCCACTATCGTTCTGAAGAATACAATTAGGATCAGTGAAAATAGGGTGAGCTATACTACTGAGCAGTACTAAATAAGAACAAAATGAGATATCCCTAAACACGGTCAGTGAAATAAGAACCAACTACCTGCAAAGATTAAATAAAGGGTTCAGTTTAAAATTACTTGTACGTTACCTGGATCAATATACACCTGATGAAGGTCAGAGGGCAAAATAGCCAAAACTTTGAAGCAATTTTTTTTTTAACACAATGGTGTACAAGACCCAAGAGCCCCTCTAGGTAGAGGGTTAAAGAGTAAGAAGGACAGTTTATGTGGATATGTGGGGAAGATAATGGTTAATGCTAGACTTGAACCAGTTAAGATTGTAGTGATCGGGGGGGGGCATTCTCTTGGGAACTGGTGGGAATAAGGAATGTAGTTTATCTCTGAACACTTTCTATGGAAATATCGACAGAGCATCGAGAGGCTTTTGACATTTCTTCTGTGTTTGTATGATGAAAAATATTTCATCCCCAACAAGGACACAGAGATGCTTTTGGGCTCTATTGAGAGTGGAAAGTGAAGACTGGACAGCTCCTGTCCATATATGGTAGAAGATAGCAGGAGGAGTCAGGCACTTTTTAGGCAATATTTTTAGTGATAAATTGTATATAAGAGTTCCACTTGAGGTTTCAGTTGAGCTTAAGTCCCAGTAAGCACTCAAGGCACGGGCCCTAACTGAGAGAACACCTGTTCATTGTGATAGGTAAAAATTCAGGATCCACTCAGTGATGATAGAATGTCCTAATGTAATCAAATGTTACAGATTGAATTACTGAGGAACTTTTTACTGATGAATATCTTCAATTTAGAAGATGAGGCAAAAAAAAAAAAAGAAGCCAAATTTACCTGCCAAAATTTAAGTTTACAGTCAGCATGGGAGTAAGAAGCCAGATGCTTGCCATCTGGAGATACCATTACAGCTATGACAGGACCAGTATGAGCAGTGATGGTCTGAAAGAAAAAAATACATATAGAAATAAAAACCATTAAGAAAAGGGTGTAAAAAAAAAAAATACACCACAGTGCAAAACTAAGGATAAAGTTTCCAATCAGTTATTCTGTTCTTCCAGTTATTTGAATAAGTTGTGATGTTGATTACAATTTTGTGGGAATGAATATTTGGCAAACTTGGACCCTCATGCCCACAAAAAAAAAGGAGTGTCAAAAGGACATTTTTTTCCATGAAACCACTCATTCTTTGGCAATGTTTATTGTTTTAAAAAGCAATTATTAAAATTGTAATCAAACCTAAACAAATGAAAGTGAATTTAAACATTTTTTTTATTCTTGAGAATTTACAACAAAAATATTAAACACTATTAGATTGTTTATTCACAAGAATAATTTTATATTTACAACATTCTAAAAACTAATACAATTAAAATTAATGCAATATTTATCATTTAACAATTTATAAAGAAATAAATATGAAAATAATTTTTGTTCATAAATTTATAAACATTTACCAAATTATAAAATATGTGAACCAAATATGAGGAAATTCTTATGATTTACCATTTTATAAAGTTTGAATCAATTGCCAATTATCCGATGTTTTGCCAACCATTTCAATAAACACTATAATAAATAGTGTAAATAAACAATCTAATAAATAGTGTTTATTATTTTTGTTGTCAATTGTCAAGAACAAAGAAAATGTATAAATTCACTTTCATATATTTAGGTTTTATCAAAATTCTCATCATTGCTATTTAAAACAATAAACATTGTCAAAGAGTGAAGGTAGTTAAAATCATAGCGATGTCACGAGAAAAACCATTCTTTTGACACTACGCGTTTTTTGAGGACATGAACCTTCATGTTTGTCAAAGAGAGAAGGTAGTTAAGATAAAACAGTGTCATGAAGAAAAACGTTTTTTTTTTGTGGGCATGAAGGTCCATGTTTGCTAAAAAATACACTACACTGAAAAACTAAGTATAAAATTTCCAATTTATTGTTCTAATCTTCCAATTATTTGATAAAGTTGTGATGTTGGTTACAGTCTAATGGGAATGAATATTTATTATATAATAATAAACAGAATTATAGTATAAGGCCAAAAAATGAGGAATAGGGAAGGCCATCACTGGTCTAAACTTTAACTTAAATAGTCACATTTACACACAATGATATATATATATATATATATATATATATACACACATCACACATACAGAATCTAGAAAGAGGATCCAATACTTACAGTACACTTAGAGTGAGGTTTCAACTCATAGAATGCTAAAGTTCCATTCTTTGCACCAACCCAGATTCGTTTATTATGACTACAGTATGTCACCATGCCAAATCTGGATAGGAAAAAAAAAAAAAAAAAAAAAAGGAATGATTTCATCAAAAATAAAAGACGGGGGAAAAAAATACATTTCTGAAATATTATGACTTTAAAAATGCATGTTTTAAAGAGATTCATTATGACTTTAAAAATTGACATATTAAAAAGATTTTTTGAAAATTATGTCTTTAAAAACAAGCATTACAAAAATTATATATTCATATAATATATACAAATACATTAAAGAACTTCTTTCTTGGCTGGCCCCCTATATCTAAAGAACCCAGTCTGCACTATTATTTGCAGAGGGCTTAAAGTTAGGGTTATCTTTCTGCTAGACCCAGTCTGCCATGTGATTTAACCAATAGGAAGTTGGATTCATGCCTTTTCCTAACTTGGTGAAATTTTGAACATGCCAGTTACACTTTCCTTACTAATGACCATTACACTATCAACATGTGCCCATTACATATTATCCACAAGTGCTTATTAGGCTCTATCCACACGTACTCATTAAGAACTATTTACACATGCTCATTGCACTCTATTCACACGTATTCATTATGCACTATCCAGACAGGCTCATTACACACTGTCCACAAGCACTCATTATGCTCCATTCACACGTGATCATTACACACTATCCACTCATGCTTATTAAACACTATCTGTATGTACTCATTATTCTATGTTCCTAGACAAAAGTCAAGGAATGACACTTTGATAATAGATAGAAATGCCAATCCATATTTAAATCATCACATCATTTTTCATGGGTACTATGCTAGTAGTAAAATAATGTTTATAAAATTTCTTTCTTTAAGCATTTGGTTGAAATCTTTAAAAAACATTTTTAATATGTAAAAGATAAACTCTAATTGATATTGAACCAGGCCTCATTTCCAAATAAGTCAATATGGCCAATATAACTCTCTCTGTGTCACCTCTTTTTTCCATTAAACACCAAATGTTTTAAGATCCACAACAAATCAGATATTTTATTTTTTGTGAGAAAATAGCAACAGGGAGTTTCAATTCCCAAATCATTAAACTTGGAGTCATACTTCCAAAGGTCATGAATTAGTCTCACAAGTTCAACTTCAGAAAATGTCAAGGTTGTAAATAAAAACAGGGTCAAAAATCCATATCTGCAATGCACAACTACCATCTTCACCCACCAAGAGTCAAGAGTATGCTGTCATCCAAAATAGTATTCTTTTATTAGAATAAGAAAGGAAGTAATTGACAATGGAGGCATGGTTTAGTAATGGACAATGGAGGCATGGTTTAGTAATGGTCAATGGATGCCCGATGGAGTACTAATCAATGGAGGCATAGTGGAATAATGGTCAATGGAGGCACAGTGGTTTAATTGTAGTACTGAAATCAAATTCCATTCAAGTTCATTACATTCACTTATGTGCTAATAGCCTTGAGAAAGGAATAACTCTATCTATTCTCCCCCCCCCCCAGCTATGAGTAAATAGCATGACAGACTGGGTCCTATAGCTTCAGGTGGCAACCGGTTTAAGAGGAGAAAAAATTCTGAATTCAAAACCAGCCTAGAGAGGGTTGGGCTCTGTCAGGGTATCTTGCTCAGGAAAACACCAATGCCACCACTGCAGCAGCACATGTGGTGCTCCTAACACCCTAGAGGGTTAGGGTTTAAAAAAAAATGGTCAAGATTAGTGGGGAAGTACAAACAATTACCATATTTCAAGGCCTACTAAAGTCAACTTGATCTTGATTTTCTTTTTTGACAGCAGAGAACACAAATTCTTTTTCAAGGCAAGACTTGGTTTTCTCCTTTGTTGCCACAAAAGACCAACAAGAATCAAAGAAAAACTAGTCCAAAATTAATATCTATCTCAATGCATTAGCAAAAACATGATGACAATAATTATATATTATTGGTGTTGCTTTTTTATTAGTAACTAGCAGTAGAGCCCGGCATTGCCCGGGGATGTAACAGTAAGAGATAGATCAAGTATCGACCATCATAAAGACTGAAAAATAAAATTGACAAAGATTATTGCTTAAGGTTGACGGACACGCGTGTCTTAATTATTTTTTTGTTTTTTTTACGAATTGGTCAAACCCAAACTCAAACAAAAACATTGTTTTCAATCATTATGTGTCTATCGATTGAATAGAATTTTATTATAAACAATTGTCCTGTAAATGGAATTTTTAAAGCATTCTGAATGTAAAAATAAAGAAAAAAGTGTGCAAGACAATAAGAAACACTACCTGCCAAAAAAAAGTGAAGTTTTGGTGAAATCGGTTGAAAATTGTAGGAAATCCGATCCCATATATAAATGAACACATACACACAAACAACCTGGGTTTGATAATAAGTATAACTCGATATGAGTTGTCCCCCTTTCATTCTGGCGACAGAATCGTGTTTTCAAATTGAATTTGTGCAAAATCAATTGTGTTTTTCCAATTTTTGGCACTGTCAGAACCACCGCAAGGTAATTTTACGTAGTTCTGTGAAGTTTTGTTGAAATCGGTTGAAAAATGTAGGAAATCCGATCCAATATATAAACGTACAGACACACACACACACACACACAATCTGCGTTTTATAATAAGTAAGATTTCTTATTGAATTTAATTAGGTGTTTTCTTTTATTGGAATAAGAAAGGTTGTGATTGGTCAAGACTGGTAGGGAAACACAAACAATTTTTTTTCATTTTTTATAATATAATAAAAGCTTAAAATTGAATAGATCTGTTCAGTGTTACAGATATGCTCTACCCAGGCTTTCTTCCTTCCTTTGACTGATGAATTGTCAATATTTTTCTTTAACTCACAAATGTCACTATATCAAGCCAGAATTAACTATTATGACTCAGGGTTGATAGCCAAGACAAATTCTTTTTTAAGACAGTTGCAATTTTAACCTATACATTCATATCACTACTTATTTTTTTCATTAGATGACACTACTCACAATGAATAATCAGAAAAGTCACCCCATATTGTACTCACTACAACAATGATTTTTTTTATGTAGTGTATGCCTTCTAGAAGGCTCTCAGTAATTTCCTGCTTTTTTTTAAGATTTGATTCATCTTTCTTTGACCTGTTCTACCCTCCATTTACCCAAATTCATTAGGTAAGTTACTCATCATTTTCTTCTGCCCCTCTTGCCTTCAAAATGACCTATGTATGTTAAATATTTTGAAGCCCTCTTTCCTTATATGTGTCTCACAAATTTCAACTCTTTCTGATTTTTAATGTGTGTCCTAATTCCTGTTTTCTTTAGAATTTTCTCATTGCTCAACAATGACTAGAGAAACAAAAATGGAAATTTTAAATGTCTTTCAATAGTTTGGGATAAATTTAACTGTAGCTGCTATTTTTAGCCTTGTGTCAAAGAAGATATCATACTGAATGCCATATAAGGCTGATCTTTAATATTACAATATTATAGAGTTATACAATACCTCAACTTTACATAGAACATCTGGAAGAGTCTTCTATGGCATCCAGTGCAGTAAATAGTGATGTTACTTACCTGCAAATAGCCGGGAACACCTCTTGTAGTCCTTTACTCTTTAGCTGATTCAGATCCAAACAATGAACGACAACATCCATCACCTGAAAACAAATGGAATATGAACAATTCAGTTCAGCAAAATAATATTTTAGTATGACCAACAAAGTTAAAATATACTTAGGAAGATTGTATTTCACCAGGCTTTTAAAATAAAGAAATGACTTTCTGTCATGAAACTCATGCATTTGAAATTACAAAATAAAATGGAAATAAGAATAAATCCTTTTCCCATTAACCAAAAATAAATAGGAACTGAAATGGTTATCAGCTAACCCTGATCTCAGAATTCCAAAATGAGTTACTCCCTCTTTTGACCGATGATCTTTTGCTGCGATCTGACATCACGCTCTATGAACTTGTGAACCTCAACATGGAGACAAGATGGAAGAAGTGAGTACAGCCTGTAATCATACCTTTACCTAAACTACAACACCCATCTGCTCTATTTGCATGTTATTGTTAGCAGTCAAGGGAGAAACCCTGACTTAGCTTTTTTGTAAATTCCATCTGTAACGAAGAAGTACAGGTTCCTATTATACCTTCACATAAACCAAAAGATTTTCATAAAAAGAGAGAAACAATTGCTATGGACATGTTGAAAATATCACATTCATCATCACTGAGAAAATTCCTACAATATCATCTCATTGTTATTTGTTTGAATAAATTTTGCTTGTTTGTTAACTTAAGATATATCCAGTTTTTTTTCAATTCGTTGTTGCTGTTCTTTTCTCAGTCAGAATTGTTGCTTTTCCACTTTCCTCTTATGACCTACTGTTTCTCTTTGCGTGAATGGGATCTTAAACCAAGAGTCAGATAATTTCTTTATGTCCTTGATATTCCCACGACAAAATCCTGGCTTTTTACCTATGCTGAACCACTGAAACCAACTATCTCAACCACTACAGCAACTTATTTGGCCAAGAAAGATAAATCGTGTTGTGAATTTCAGTATTGCAACAATTTCAAGCTATTCTTACCTCAATTAAGAGCTCAGCAACATCATTGGGCATTTTATCGACCAACAGTTCTATCACACGCAGAATTTCTGCTTTTGCTCTCACCAGAACTGAATTTAGAAGTTGTGGATGTTGGGACTGTGCATTCTGGGCAAGGGTGTTATAACGGGCCACTTCTTTGGCCATAGTGATGATAAAAGCTGGTGGGCGAGCTGTTGCAATTAGGGACAATGAATGTCGAGCAGTCCTGCTAGCATCAGCATACGGAATAAGTGGAAGGCCAAAGGTCAAGCTGAAACAACAGACAAAATAAGAAAAGTTAAAAGTAAAACCAGAAATATTAAGGGCATAATAAAAAAACAAAAGATGGTTTCATTTTAAATTAAAACTAGTTTGGAATCTATTCTTTGCTGATGACAAGATGATAAAATTCCAAATCTTAAATTACCAATTTAAAATAATACCTTATTAGAAAATATACTCAGTTTAAATACAGCAGTCATATTGACATCAAATGGCCGTTTGTACTCTTTTCCTATTAACCAAAGTTGTTGGCAGAGAGAAAAGAAAATTAGCATTTCAATTTCAGTTAGAGTGTGTATATATGTATGCTTCAATGTGTTCATGTATATGACAGGCCTAAAAATAAATTTGAGAATTTGTTAAAATTTTAAAATAATTCTATTTATTACTGAATAATTTCCAAATAAGTTTCCTAATATTGGGTAGTCCAGAAAGTTCATGCTGATTTTTAGTTGTTCATGTTCCAATACATTAGAACAATCAAATTTATCAACAGATATAATATACTTACATTTCTGATTAAAGCACACTTCAAACTATCTCTTGAGAAAGAAAGTTTAAAATTACTTAATTCATTTCAATTTTACATCCTGGTGAAAATGGAAGATTATAAGGTGCATTTTAAACACTTGATGTTTTTTTTTTTTACTGTAAGGGAAAAATGCCTCGCAAACAACAAAAAGGATATGTGCTGTGTATGGTGAAGGTGCTTTAGCTGACAGAACTGTACGGAAGTGGTTCATTAAGTTTAGAGTTGATGATTGTAGCCTTATTGATGAACACTCAGGTAGACCCCACCCCCCACTACAGATGACAACCAAATAAAGACATTTATTGAGAAAATACCATATTACACAAAGTGGGAATTGGCAGAAACACTAAATTTATCAAAATCCACTATCCATGAGCACTTAGTGAAGCTTGGGTACTCAAATGCTATGATGTTTGGGTACCACATGATCTGAGTGAAAAGAATCTTTTGGATTACATTTCATCTGTGATTTGCTGTATAAACGCAATGAAAATGCACCCTTTTTGAAGTAAATTGCATGACGGGTGCATGACAAGAAATGGCTTGTTTACAACTGTTCAGAAAAAATGATACTGGGGTAAGTGAGATGAGCCAACTTTAACCACCTCAAAAACAGGTCTTTATCCTAAGTCATGCTGTGCATCTGGTGGGATTAGAAAGGAATCCTGTACTATGAACTTCTGATCAAGTAACAAGTCAATTGATTTTCAAGAGTATTACTCACAAGTGGATGAATTAAAGGCAGCAATTCAAGAAAAATGCCCAGAAGAGGTGAAGAGGAAAGGTGTTGTTTTCCATCAGAATAATTTCAGACAACCTGGTAAAAATTGTTGCAGCTTGGCTGGGATATGTTACCCCAACTGCCATATTCACCAGACATTGCTCCTTTGAATTTTCATTTATTCAAGTCCTTACAAAACAATCTCAATGGTAAAAATTTTAATTCTTTGGATGACATAAAAAACCACTTTAATTAGTTCTTTGTTGAGAAACCAGCAAAATTCTAAAATAGATTTTCTTTTTGGTATTTCTTTAATAGAACACAAATGGAATCAATTTAGTTTCTGACAGTAATTACGCATTAATAAGAAAATAACTAATATTAGATTAACTCCAAACATTTGCTTAAAAAAGAATGTAAAACAAACATTTCTTCAAATGTGTAAAATGGTTGTAAAATAAACCTTTCTTAAGAAAAGGGTTATAAAATAAACCATTTTTAAGAAATTCTTTCTTTTTCTTTGGAGAGATAAAAGGATTAATTAGATACAAAGGCAGTGAAACATTGGCTGAATAAAGTCGCACTTTGACAAAACTGAATTTTTTGTATGTGTTCAATTGCAAAATTTATTATGACAAACACAAAACATTGACATTTTTTTAAAAACCTCTCATGGGCCACATTTGTTAGTTTCCATGGACCATTTTTCATGTAGGCCCATTTAGTGCTTAAATCCCAATGAAAGATTTATTTCTCTCTTTGGCTTCATGGTTTGCATTTTGTTACAGTCAAATAAGCCTTTTTTTTCTCTATTTTCACAAATGCAACATTACTATCTATGCAACTTGATACAAAATGCCTACCATTTTGTGTTCTACATATGAACACATTTGTATTCTAAGAATAAAAAAATCAAGAATACTTACTTGGGCACTAAACGATCAGCATCAACACAAAGTTCCAACAAGCCAAGCAAGACAGCTGATACGTCAAGGTACGGTTCCCACACAGTAAACCCCCTCCCTAACAAATCAATGGATGCCCGTCGAATTGGAGAATAAGCAGGCAGCCGCTGACTTGGGGACTGAGATAAGAGGAATGTTAATGCATGACCTGAGAAAATAAGGAAGAGAAAAAAAACATTAATACCATCATCATCAGCTAAGATTGGTTTGGTTTATTTTGTTTTATGGTATATCAACCTCAATGGGTTATTTAATACCAGCAAGATTTTTAGGACAGCTTCATATGAATAGAATATGTATTCTTTGTAAGTAATCAGTTTGTAGATCAGGTTTCATTGACGTATTTTTGTAAAGAGGATTTTTGTTGAAAGTCAAATGTATTGCTAGTAATATTTCTTTTTAAAAAAATGTATTGCTGGTATTTTTAATATAAAAATCTATTGTTATACTTTCATAGTGTTTTGACCCCAGTTTGAAGGTTAACTATTTGCCCATACCTGGGACCCTAACAAGTGCTACCATCCCAGGTCAAGGTAGACCTGGGAACAGTAGCAATTAAGAGGTGGATCAACACTCCTCAAAATCTCCCAATCAGAGACCTTGCTGCTGGATGTAGTTTATTGTCATACCCAGGACTCATCAACTAAAAGAAAAACTCTAATGATTTATATGAAACTTCTTGCATGTTATCTTAAGAATTGTACTGAAAGGGTTAATCTTAAGATATTTGTATTTTCAGCAGGTTATTTCTCAATGCCCAGTAATGACAACATTTGATGGTATATACACTTAAGTGCTTAATACAAAGTGGGAATCTTAATTGGGGGAGGTCGGAATTGTTATCAAAATAAAGTAGGGTTTAATAACATTAATGACTCCCCTCAATTCCATTTCCTAAGTGTAAGAATCCAACATGTATTTAATATCACACTATTATAGAGTTAGCTTAGGTATAAATGTTTATAGTATTAAGTGGCTAAGTAAATATAAGCTTACAAGGTTGTATAAAAAAAGGCCTGTTATTTTTTTACTGTTTGAATTTCTGGAATGAGGAATTATCATAATTTACACAATTTACATTTGAACTATGTCCTCATTGTTGTTGTTATCATCATCATCACAACGTTTCAGCCTTTATGAGGTATATATTGATTTGGGTAACCTGTAAAGAATTCCAAACTGAACCTTTTATTTAATCTATGGGGGTTGACTTTTCTCATTCCACTGATCTTGTCTAGGGACATTGTCTAGTTCTTATTTTGAGTACTGCTCAGTTATTGCTCACCCTGTTCCCACTAAATCCAAGTCAAGCAGTGTGTATTTGGACTCAGTGGAAACAGGGTGAGCAATAACTGGGCAGTACCAAAAATAAGAACTAGACAAGATATCTCTAAACATGTGGAGTGGAATGAGAACAGTCTACCCTCTCAAATGATGAAGACAATAGTCCGAATGTAAATAGTGTAAATAAATTTTTGAGATATTTATGGTGGAAGATTGGCGAGGAGGGCATTCAAATGCAGTAATTTACCATCTGAAATTTTTACAATTCATTATTTCAAATATATTTTATAAACAATAAATAAAAAAATAAATAAATATATGAATTCCTTGTATAAATATAATTTTTGGTATATTTTTTATATTTTTGTCAAATGTTATTTTGCTTTTATAGTGTACAATTATATTATTTTGCTATATTTTTTGTTATATGTTATTTTGCTATTATAATGTACAAATATGTTATTTTGTTATATATTTTTTTATATTTTTGTTATTTTCCACATATTATTTTGTTATAGTGTGCAAATATATTATTTTGTTATATTTTATATATATTATTTCTCTTTTTATATTGTACAAATATATTTTTCTGTGATATTTGTTATATATTATTTTTGCTATTATAATGTACAAATATATTATTTTGTTATATTTTATATTGTTTTTATATATTATTTAATTCTATTATTTTTTTTTACATATTGTTATTATAGTGTACAAATATATTATTGAATGTAGTTAAAATATCAGTTGTGTTAGAAATTGTTACATGCAACAATTACTCATAATAATGATCAATGACAATAACTATCAATCATGAAAATATTGACCAAATTGATCAATAATGATAACAATTATAAAGATCAATATTGATCACTAATGATAATAATAATGATTAATAACAATCATATCCAAAATAAAATATTCCAAATGGCTGCTTACTTTCTGGACAGACCTCATTATTTAATTGTTTTTTATCATCAGTGTCTTTTTGTTTTTTTTAAACAGTTCACCCCAAGCAAGGTGATAATGTCACTAAAACACAAGGGGCTACTGGGAGTGAAAGAGAATGAGAAGACTTAAAAAGGAACCAGAAACCCAATCCTAAACAGTGACAAGAGAAAAAACTCTAGTTCTGTTCAAAAATTTTATTAACTAAAATGTCTTAATCAAAAAATACTGATGATGTGAAATTTAATTATGAAGTTCTCCAGAGGTTACAGACAAAAAAGGAAAACATTTTCTTACTTGTGTGTCGAGCTAACGAATAGTTCGATAGACTAAATCCCTCTTGACCACTTCGTCGGGCTTTTTTCAATTCTGTTTCAGGCTTCCTTTTACTGGGTTCAATTTCATGTCCAAATTCAGCCCCAACAACCCCGAGCATAATTATAGCAGTGGCCTGTTTGCGGCGGGACTCAAAGTTGCTGGACACTTTATTTGCCGGAGGTTCACCTTGTTATAAGAACAAAAGAGAGAAAAAAAAATCACAACAAGAAAAATATAGTGCACTTGTCACAGTAAAGAAAAACCAATAATATCATGTTTTAAATGTGAACACGCCACCAGGAGACCCTCACATAGCTTTCCCCAACTGGTCAGGTTGTATCCCATGCTGTGGTGTGGTTCAATTCCCATTTGCATCAACCTGAACAAAACTGGGAAAGGCCTATTTATGTTCAACAAAAGAAATTGAAGGTGAAGTATGGCATGTGGAGAAAAGTCATGGCCATCTTGAGTTCTCACCTAGATGAGAAAGAGCTAGTGATTCTGATAAAAAAGATTCTGTTTGGTTTGGTTTACGGCATATCAACCTTTATGGGTTATTTAATGCTGACAAGATTTTTATTGCTGGTAATTTTTTTCTTTTTCAAAAATGTATTGCTAGTAATAATTTTTTTCTTCCAAATTCATTGCTGGTATTAAAACCTATTTTTACACTTTCATAGTGCTTTGACCGCAGTTTGGGGGTTAACTATTTGCCCATAGTTGAGACCCAAACAGGTGCTACCACCCCAAGCCAGGGTGAACCTGGGAACACCAGCAATTAAGAGGTAGTTCCACACTCCTCAAAACCTCCTGATCAGAGGCCTTGCTGTTGAATGTAGTTTATTGTCTCACCCAGGATGATGATAAAAAAGTGTTTTTATTGATGTTCACATGGCACTGTCTTGGAGTAGACAACTGACAGTTGGGATTATATTTGCTGCTACTTCAGCCTTCTCTAATTGGAAAGGCCCAATGAATGTTTAACAAAGAAACTGAAGGTGACATAATTCTTGGATACAGTTCTTTCATTCTTATATTAGTGAGTAAGACAAGAAGTCTGTTGGTTCTGATAAACAAGAATCATTATTCATGGATCAGTTCATCTGGCACTGTCTCAGGGTAGGTAAATAACACTTGGGAATATCTTTTCTGCTACCCCAGCCTTCTCTAATGACAGACTAATGAACCAGTCTTGGAAGAAGAGTGATAGCACATAGACAAACATTGCTGAAAGATATTTCTTATTACTATTCAGTGGGTACATGCATTTGAGTAGACATCCATATCTTCTGAAACACTGAAATGAATGTCTACCGGCCTAGAGATCAAACATCTTATTAAAGAAAATGTGTCTTCAGACAGTAATTGAACATGTATTCCATTTTTAATCTGATAAACTACTTTCAAGCCAAGTGTGCTTTACCATAGAGACACAGGAAGCCATTGTAGCAAAGTTCAATTATCCTATCTCAGAAATGCACATCACTCATTGATACCTTTTGAAATCTATATTTGCTAACTTTATTTTTGTACACAAAATGTAAAGAAAATAATTTTAAGCAGTTAATGGATGTTTTAATCAATCATTATTCCTTATTACTCAAAATGTGATATTCAGTTGGTACGCATGTTTGAGTTGACATCCTTGTCTTTTTAAAGTGAAATTAATGTCTACTGGCCTATATTGAAAGCCCTAATAAAGAAAATGTGCCTCCCAACACTTGTACTCAGTTTTTAATCTAAGAAACAACTTTCAAGCCAAGTGGGTTTTATATATAAAATTATATTTTTTTTTTAATTTTCTCTCTTTATGAGGGAAGAGCACTCAATATTGAGGATTGAGTATCTGTAGATATAAACAGTGTGGATATAGGAATCAAAATTGCATGGTTACTGGAAGTTTCACACTTTAAGCGATCAACAGAATATGTATTTATAACAAGGCTAAAAATATTTTCCACTGAAAGAAGCAATAAAAAGATAAAAATGGCTTACATACAATTTTCAAATTTTCCAGCAAAACAAAAAATAACATTTTTTTTTAAGCAAATCCCCCCAAGCAAAGCAGGAGTGTCACTAGCACGCAAGGGGTTACAGAGGGGGAGAGTAAAAATAAAGAGGAGTGTTTAGGAAAAAGATAAAAAAGGACAAGGATCAAGGTCAAGGCATCAGAAGATGTCAATTGACATTACATTTGAATATTTGTAGATTATAGCTATCAGGGAGGCAAGTAATAGGAAGGGAGTTCCACTGAAGGGAGGTGTGATATAAGAAGCTTTTGGAGTGTAAGAGATGGCTACATTTAGCCATTTCAGCAGTGAAAGGGTTTAAATTTTTGATACAATCAACACTTACCTGTAAGCATGTGGTCCTCCTCCTCATCTTCTTCATCTTCTCCTTTGTGTAGTTTCATTCATTAAACTCAAACTGGGATCCACATAAGTTGGAAGGTGAGGGGCCCATTCATCTACTACTTTCTTACGACCCTCGGGGCCGATTCTTCGAAGCTCTGCTAGCAACAATGCTTGGGCAGCTTCTCGGATCTACCAAAAGAATTGTAAAACAAAATGTTACAAAGGGGACTAAAGTGTGGGGGTAAAAATGACAAGGCACCACTTTATTATGTACACAAGCGACTACGTTTATAATTTGGAACTTTTGTTTTTCTAAGGCCAGTAAATGTGGAAAATTAACCAAAGGTCACTTGATAATGGTTGCGACAGAAGCTGAGATCAACTTACAAATGAAGCACTATTTCTCCCAATCATAAAAATTTTTTTTCACACCTCAGAAATAGATAATTAGAAACTAATTAATCATATTATTTACATCACAAGAGGTTAGCTTTATCTTTATAAGAGTTAGATTAAACCAAAATTTAAATTTTAAATTTCTGGTGTCCGATGTGTGTAGATGCACAACCTAGACAACCTCTTTCAGATTTCTCCTGCTTCTGTTTTTCCGCTGTTGCTTTTTAAATGTCATGCATTAATTTCTAAATTAATTTTTTTTAATCTAACATTATTTTTCATCATTATCCTATTATAACTGTGCTTCTCCCTCTCTTCATTAGTTTTTATGACTGTTACACCCTGGACTATTCTGTTTTGATCACGTGGAAAGAAGGGAAAAGACACTACTTGGTTTCAGTGAAATAGAGAGGAAGAATCAGATTAAGCTGGTAAGAACAGATTCTACACTTTGATCTTAAACAAAAGGCCAATAAGCAATGTGCGACCATTTAAAAGCACCATTTTTCAGACACACAGTATTGAACAATGGAAACCAAGTAAGGTAATCGCCAAAAATCCAGTTACCATGAATAACATAGTCTGCTGAATTATTTTAAAATTATTATTACGATAAATGTTCATAAGATAGGGATTTGGCAAGTAAACATTATTTTTAGTCAATACATGTGTTTGAGTTGACATGTCTAATTTTCATTTTCTTAAACAGTGAAATTAATATCACCCCATCTAAATCAATCTGGATCAAATGAAGCTAATAGACATAGATCCAAAGAAGTTACAACAAGAGTTGAGCATTCCTTAAATAGATAATTGAACCTTGTTTTATCATGACGTTCTCCCATGACCAAATTGGTGATAGTATGCTTCAGTTATAGGAGTGCTTCCACTGATGAAAAAAGGGGATACAGGTTCAATTCCTGTTGGGAAGCACATTTTCTTTAGTAGGACTTTCCAAATCTAGGCTGGTTATTATTAATTTCACTGTTTAAGTGATCAGGTAAGCACCCCCTCTGGACTCTGTTTCATAATGCAACAGTTTTGTGGAAGAAGCTATCTGAGTAGAACTTCTTCCTTATCTATGGAATATGAAGGGAAAGAGGATGGGTCAACTCAGTATAATATGGTACAGCGACATGACCTAACTGTGAAGGTTTGAATTTCCAGAACCAAGGAATGTAGTTTTCCCAAACATTTACCATGAAAGTAACAACAGAGTAGCAAGACGTGAGCAAAGTTTCATCAGTGGAAAAAAAGATGCAAAACAATTCATCACCTACAAGGCCGCACAAATATTTTTGGACTCTATCAAGACTAGAAAGTAAAGATTCTGAAGCTGGAGCTATGTAAAAGAATTTGCAAAAACCAAGTTTTGATTAAAACAACAAGGATAAAACTCACTGTCAATACCCACTGAGATCAGTGCACTACAAACAGGTACATGACCAATATTGGCAAATGCAGTAGATTTACAAAAAAGACTCACCTCCAGACACCTATCTTGCCATCGTCTGGCCAACATTTCCACCTGGGGTGCTTGGTAGTTGCCAGAACCCACAAGCTCTGGGAGGAGGACACAGTGGAGTGCAGCCAACAAGCTCCACCCCTGTTTGATTTGTGCTTGTTGGATTGATGCTTTCTCACCTTCTTCATCACTCTCTGTAGATGTTGGTGCATTACTGCTTTGTTGTTTTTTGCGCCTGAATAAAGAGATAAGGAAGTGTCAGTTTAAAGAGACAAAAACTGATGCAAGATTTTATATTTTGCACCACAAACAACACTTACCTGTAAGCAAGGTGATAAGTTTCCTTTTAGATAGTTTTATAAGTAACATTTTGAATGTTAAGAATAAAGACTAATGTGACAAAGATGGCAGAGAGAAGTGGACACTGTGACAAAATGGTTACAGATTTGTGCTCAGCCTTCGTGGATGAAGTTGTTAAGGTGATGTTCAAGAATTTTTAAAGAGAATAATTTTAACAATTGAGCTATTCCCTAGAAAGAGCTTTTGAACAACTAGTACCATTTTATTTTTAAATCATTTCACACCAAGCAAGACAATAAAGCCACTAAGACATTAATGAGTGTGAAAGAATATGAGAAAAAAAAAGCATTATTATGGAGAAAGAACAGTAAAAGAACAGGAATTAAGAAGACAGAAGAAAACAATTGACATTGTATTTAAATTTAAAGTACCAAAGAGGAAAGCTCATCAGAGCAATTACCATGAAAATATTTATAGAAAAGGCACAGAGAATCAACGTTATGGTAGTCAGAAGTAACTGAAGCTTAGATGCCAGGTGAGGACCAATAACATTGCAGATTCTTCTTTGTATTTAATCGAGAATCTCTAAATACAAAGCAGAAGCATCAGACCAGATGTAGCCAGCAATATTTAATGCATGGGCAAATGGTAGAGAGTTATAAGTTTTTGAAGATCAAACTGTGATTAAATTTGTAAAGTTAAGGTACTAAAGAGGAAAGCTAGTCAGTACACTTACCATGAAAGTATTTATAGAAAAGACACAGGGAAGCTATGTTACAGCAGTGGGGAAGTGACTGAAGCCAAGGTGACAGGTCAGGACCAATAACATTGCAGATTCTTCTTTATATTTTATCAAGAATCTTTAAATTACATAGCAGAAGCACCAAACCAGATGTGACAGCAATATTCATTGCATGCTTCTAGAAAATATGTTGACTCTAAAATTCCACTAAATACAATACTTGGGAGCCATTCAAGGTAGAAGACTAATAATTGAGATTGTTATAAGAGCATGTAGCAAGCGGTGCATACTATGAGATAACATAGGATAGATAACACATGAGACTTAAAGAGGTTAAGATTGTAGTGGTTAAGGAAGCATCTTCATGGGAGTCTCTTCCATAATGCAACAATTGTGTGGAAAAAGCTGTCTGAGTGGAACTCTCTTTACCAATAAGTGTACATGATCTGGTGGATCCTAACTGCTAAGGTCTGGACTGATGGAGCTAAAAAAAATGTACCTAATCTGAACATCTTTATTTTCTTCTTCTTTTTTTTTTAAACACTTCACTAAAGCAATAATGCCACTAAGAAGCAAGGGCTACTTGGAGTAAAAGAGAATGAAAGACTAGAATTTAGAACTGGAAACCAATCCTAAACAGAAAACAAGGAATAAACTGTTCAAAAGACTGGGGGAGGAGCGTGACCCTATCTACTCCTATTCTACCATGGAAGTAGTGAGAAGCTAGCAACATTTCATTTGTGGGAAAGGGTTTGTAGGTTGTAAAACAATTCATCACCCACAAGGTCGTGTAAAGGCTTTTGAACTCTATCAAGTCTGAAAAGTGAAGATTGTGCAGCTCCAGGCACAAGTGAAAATCCAGAAATTCTTTTCACATGACATTTAAAGAATTTCACAATTACAAAAAATGAAAAGTAGGAAAATAAAAAGTCTAAACAGAAATTCTGAATATTTGTGTTATATGAAGAGAAAGTGGGGTATGAAATGAAGATCTGGGGTATAGACTGAATCTTGGCTTGAAGAAGTCAAGATTGTCGTGTTCAGGAAAACACTCACGCAGGAAAGTCTGTTTTGCGGGGAAATGGAACATTCTTCTTACATTTAAAATATTGAGGAAATGAGAGTGATTCTACTCTGTGGGAGTGACATGACAAGTCCAAGTGGTTATGGTCTGTTAAAATGGTGAAACTAAAGAATGAAGCTCATCTGAACATTTGCCGTGGAAATAGCAATAACGTAGCAACAGGACTGCAATGTTGCATCTGTGGGAAAGAGCAGCACCAGCCCAAATCTCAGTGATAATACTCCATTTTTGGCTTAATCTAACTTTAGTAACAATAAAGAATGACAGAAGGGGTCAAATACTTTTGAGAGTGATAAAATGAGCCAACCATGTATTTAGCAACTTTAGCAATATATTGTATATAGACGTGGAACTTGAGACCTAATATGCATTCAACGCATCGTGCCTCATTGAGACTGGAAGAGAACATGGCATTGTAACAAGAGAACATTCACAGTCTGATCTTGGTTTTTGAGGTACTGCGAGTAACAAGCCAGTTATTTCTCCATTAAGCTGTTAGAGGTAGGTCAGAGTAGAGATTGGATACAAAACTCCAATCATCTTTGGGTTTTGAGGTACTGAAAGTATCAAGCCAGTTATTTACCCCTTTGAGCCATTAGAGGTTGGTCACAGGAGAGATTGTCTGCAAGACTCCGATTATCTTGGTTTTTGGAAGGGCATCCATAAACAGTGGTATAATGTCTATAGATATTTATTAATGATCTGAGAATTTAATAATAAAGCAGAAAGAGAGTAAGACTGAGGAGCTCCAAATATAATATTAGACATGCAGATGGCATTATGGTTATTTGTGCAGAAAATGGAATCACCAAGCAGTGTTCAAATTCCAGCCAGTGCTGTTACATTCACTTTGCACTAATACCTTTGAGGAAGGCCAGAAACCATCTACTCCCAGGAATAGGTAATATTATAGGGTGGACTGGATTCTATAGCTTTGTTAAGATAACTGAATTCTAAATCATGAAGATGGCAACAGGAAATCACTGCTTTTCCTAAGTATATTTATGCCAATGTATAGTTTACAAATATTCAAGAAAAGAAAGTCAGAGAGAGCCATAACCACCTATGTTCTGGAAGGAGATGATTACAAAAATTAGTGAAAGAACACTGAGAATTTTGTAAAGACAACTTGGAAATGCTCAGCAGGGAAAGTACTTATATTTCTAATTTTCAGGTCTTTTAAGAACTAAATAGTTTCCAACCTCTCAATACCTAACAAAACATTTTCTTAGCTGTCTACTACACCTAATAACAAAATATTTTCTTACCTATCTACTACACCTAATAACAAAATATTTTCTTACCTTTCTACACCCAATAACAAAATATTTTCTCACCTTTCTACACCTAATAACAAAATATTTTCTCACCTTTCTACACCTAATAACAAAACATTTTCTTATCTTTCTATACCTAATAACAAAATATTTTTTACCTTTGTACACCTAAGAACAAAGCATTTTACCATTATACACCTAAAAACAAAATATTTCCTTACTTTTCCACACCTAAAAAGAAAACATCCTCTTACCTTTTTATCCGTTTTAATTGACTTCCGTCAATAAATGAAGCATAGTTCATACTCATCAAGGTGTTAGCCACAGAGATCACACTTAACAAATGTTGAGTGGTGATTGCCTGTGATATTTGCCAGCGAGCCTTCGTGGAAAAGATATGGATTTCATCTTCTGTGCTTTGCATCTCTTTTTGGGGAGCTTCATTCGGTGAGATAATTTCTTCCTCACTGCTATTTTGTCGGGTCGAAGGCTCGCTATCAAATGTAATAAGGTCTTCCATTGATGTCGTCCGCACCTGTTCAATGAGCGTCGGCTTCTTGCTTTCGATATTTTGCAACAAGAGGTTCCTCTGCAACCGAAACTGCTTCTTGTGCCCACCTGGGAGTAGCAGGGACATGTGCCCATTGCGTGAGAACAAACCGAACGAGATGGGTCGCTTCGGCTTGAGTAAACCAAGCTTGCTGTGACACAGCTTGTCCAGATCTGGATCCAACCCCCAGGCATGCAAGCATGACATGAACAATTGGGCTGTTTCCATAGTGAGGTCAATCGATTTTATATGAATGCTGTTTGGTCGAAGTTTATCGGATTTTATTGACGTTCGAGATGGTGAGGGCTTTATGCTCTGTTTTGGAGATGATTGCGGAGAATACTGTGTTGTCTCTACTTTGTTTTGGATTTTATGCCCGACATTTTCCGCTTTGTCTTTTACTTTAGCAATTAACCCTGAAAGTGTAAAATTAAAAGGTTTGAAAAGCGAATAAGTTTACAAATTGTACAGAAGAAAATAGTGAAGTAACACAAAAGCCAAACAATTGTTGTGTTCACCATTGGATGAAGTCAGCAAACATGCAAATCAGTTTCACTCTTAGCCAATCATGGTGAAAGAATTGCTGAGATGAATAACCTGTTTTAGAGAACTTACAAATCCATTTTACTAAGCATAAAGTGTAGCAAGATGAGTAGATAGCTTTAAAAACTGCTGATTTTTCATGTATTTAGAAGTTCTTGGTAAAATCCAGAGAAGAATTTGCAACATTATTGGTCCTGACCTGACATCTTGGCTTCAGTGAGTTTACCACTGCTGTAATATAGCTTCTCTGTTCCTTTTTCATAAATATTTTCATAGTAATTGTTCTGATAAGCTTCCTCTTTGGTATCTTGACTTTATGAAGAAATACGAAATTTGAAATTTCTAATTGTAACCACATGATGACAGTTTTTTTCTATTGCACTTCTCACTTGTTGAACTCTTTTCTGACTTCTTCCTTTCTACTCAACTTTGATCTTCACAAATTTAAATGCAATGTCAATCAATATCTTCTGTTTTTTTTAATTCCTCTTCTTTTATTGTTAAAAGTGCACCTTAATGGCTTTTTGCTTTCCAGTCAACTTTGATCTTTTAAATACAATGTCAGTTATCATCTGTTACCTGAATTCCCATTCTTTTATTGGCTTCTCTCCTTACTAATGTTTTTATCAGATTCTTTCACACTCAGTGTCTTCGTGGTTTTATTACCTTCCATAAGGTGAAATGATTAAAAAAATTTCCAATTGCACTGTAAATATTTTAAAATATCAAGAATTTTGTTGCTGTGCACTTTCTTGTTTACGTTTGATATTTTCCAAATATAAAACTAAAAGGAAATTTAAATGAAAGTCAAAGTAACAATTCATCCTATTTTGTCCATAATATATATATATATATATATATATATATATGTATGTATGTATGTATGTATATGTATTTGGGTGGTAATCCCACTTTTATATGTTTCATTAAAACCAAATGGCAAAGTACGTTTAAGTTTTGTATTAAGTCATATATCACTTTATTTTTAGTAGATACCCATATTTGTGTAAATGCTCCGTTTATTTATGAAACAGTAAATTTATTTTCTTTTACTGGCCTGAATATTCAAGAAATTTTATTAAAGAAAGTGTGCGCTCTCTGGTAGGATCCAGGCTGGCAGACAAAAATAAATATATTGTTAAATAAATAAAGAAAGTGTCTAACCAAATATGAGTACCCACTAAAAATAACATTTAAAATGATAAAAACCTCTGTCATATTAATGAATAAAAAACCCATTACTTCTTTAGAAATATGTATTTAATACATTTATACATTTCTTATTGCTATAAACGTTATTTTTAGTAAGTACATGTGTTTGAGATTGAGAGATGGATTTAGATGTTTCCCAAGAGTATTTGTATGAAAATATTTATAGAAAAGGCACAAGGAAGCTGAGATGACTAATAACATTCTACTTTGGATTTTATCAAAAATCTCTAGATTCATAGCAGAAGCACCAGACTAGATGTAGCAGAAATATTTAACGCATAGGCAAATGGTAGAGTTATAAATGTGCAAGATTGATTCGGTTTTGAAAAGTTGTCTCACACGACACAGTGAACCAACTTGTGTAGCAGAAGACCCATTGAAAACAATAGAAGCTGGCTGCTTACCTGCAATTTTAACAGCTGCTTCACTGACCTCAGGCTGAATGGCACTATGAATTCGTTCCATTGTAGGACTTGCTGTGTTGAAGACTTCCAATTCACCAGGTGTCATCAAAGCATATTCTTCTGTAAGAAGTTGAACTGCAAAAACAAAAAAAAAATCCATGAAGAATCAGAAAAAAGATCAATAATGAATTCCTTGAATTTAAGACATTCTTTTACAACCTCTTTTATGCAACAAGGCCTTTAGGACATTGGCGATCATTGCTCTCCACAGTTTCCTGTCCTATGTATCTCTTAATAAGTTGTCTTTTTGTTTTCTCACCTAAACCCCATCCATCATCCATTTACTCAAGCTCATACTTCTACTTATATGTGCCATGTTCCTTTAGAATGTTGGCGATCATTGCTCTCCACAGTTTCCTGTCCTTTGTAGCTCTTAATAAATTTTGCCTTTTTGTTATCTCTCCTAAACCCCATCCGCTATCCATTTACACAAGCTCTATATGTGCCATGTTACTTCAAAATGTTGGCCATCATGGCTCTCCACAATTCCTTGTCATTTGTAGCTCTTACTAAATTTTGTCTTTTTTGTTATCTTTCATAAACCTTTTTCCATCATTCATTTACTCAAGCTTGTTAGCTAGGTTATATATTGTTTTCCACCTCTTGCCTTCAATCTGTCATACAAATATCAAATTTTCCAAGCTGTCTTTCCTCATTATGTGCCCTAGAAATTTCAACTGCCTCTTCCTGATGTCAAGTATGAGTGTCATTTTTGTTTCCATTTTCACTAAAACTTTGTTGTTGCTCACATATTTGGTCCATGGTATCCTAAGCATCCTTCTGTAGAAGCAGATTTCTTTTGCTTCAAGTTTCTTCTTCATCAGGTTCAGTGGATGATGCTCAACTGAGCGATCATGCCTCTTTTCAATTCATGATTGACTTGGGAGAAGAATTCTTGCAGTAAGCTACCATTACTTTCTGCGGTAGATTGATTGACAACCAAGATTATAGGATACAGTCTGTCCTGCTATTTAACCTATACATGGGGGGAGAAGAATTCATACCTTTCTCAAGGGTATTTATGCATAAATGAATGTACAAACTCAACTGGAATTTGAACTCTGCTTCCCAATTTCTTATTCTGTTATCCATCACACCACCCGCACATCCAAGCTTACAGCAACTGTTATTCACAAGAAGTTGTAGTGATCTCATGATCATGAGAAATAAATAAAAACCTAATTCCTATGAAAGGAAACCAATTTACTGGCAGGAAATTTAGAGACTTTCTCTTTCATTGGCCTCTCACAAAAAGAGCACATGGATTTGAGATTCTCCAAGAATGAAAGTCACAGGTAAGTTTTACACAAATATCACTTTTTCATGTTTAATATTTATCTTTTAATGACAGACTTATCACTTGCAAATAATTTATTCATTCACCACACAAACACAAAAATCAGAAACATTTACTAACAACCATATTACAAAAACGTTCATATATCTACTGAACTAGTACAATCAAATACTACTGATAATAAATACTTCTATATATGTATTAATGTCTCACTTTGTTGTTATGATGTATAAATGTTACATTTTACTAACCAAAAAAAGGAGTCAAACAAAGCCCATCATAACAGTCACCCATCTAGATACTGACCAGGTTTAATGTCGCTAAACTTAGGTGATCAGGCAAAAAGCAGTGTTTTGACATATGCCTATTGGAGAATATGACATATAAATTTCTTGTTATCAGAACAATGTTGGGTAATTGAATGACAAAATTGAAAAAAAAAAACAGGGAAGCTAAACTTTAAATTTAAATCTTAAAATTTCTGGTATCCAACATATCTAGATGCACAGTCAATCACATCCAGTTTCTTTTTTGCTTTTATAGCCATTGTTTTTAAATATCCCAAACTGTGACAACAAAAGTTTTGTTATGGTGGAGTAATGGATAATAGCTCAGATTGAGGAATTGGAGAGCTAAGTTCAAATTCCAGTCGAATCCATTACATTCAATTGCATGCTAATACCATTGGGAAAGGTATGAATCCTTATCTTCTCCACCAGCTATGGGTAAATAGCAGGACAGACTGGGTTCTATAGCCTTGGATGGCAACTGGTCTACCACAGAAAGAAATGGCAATCTACTGCAGGAAAAAATCTGCCTCATCAGTAATGTACAAAAGATATGTGATCGCCTAAGCATGTATCACGCATGGTATATAACTGACTGACTGACTGAAAGAAACATGGAAGCAGGAATCAGTGCATTTTCTAGACATTTTCACCTTAGTAAATTATTTTTTCTTTTAATAAATCCACATTCTTTAATTAAAAATTGTTTGTTTTTTTTTTTATGGATTATCAATCTTTTGTGGTTCATTTAAAATAATTATATTTTTGTAAGAATAATTCTTCTTTTGTGAGTGAATATTCATTAACAATTTTTTGGGAACTAACAATGATTTTTCCCCGATACAAGGCCTGCTATTTAACCCATAGGTGGGTGAGAAGGGACGATGTCAAAATTATGATCCAATACATTACAATGACTAATGCATTGAGTGTGTTGTTTTATAAAAGATCCCTTTTGTGTTCAGGGCTTACAGCCATATCATGTTGAAACATTAGTTCCTGTACAATCACTGAAATTAAGCAAGGTCAAGCCTGGTCAGTACCTACATAGCTGACTGCTTGGGAATTCCAGGTGCTGTAAGCTTGGATGTGTAGGTGGTGTAATGGATAATGGCTCAGAATTGTTAATTGAAAGTCCAATCAAGTTTGTCATATTCACTTATACATAGATACCTTTGGGAAAAGGTATGAATCCACCTGTTCCCACCCCAGTTATGAGTTAATTAGTAAGACTTGTATCACTAAACCATTATTATCTCAAAAAAATTCTTACAATCTACAAATATTTTCTGCAATGGATTGATAAGCCATAGAAAATGAATCAATGAAATACTGATTAGAGACACAGGCATGTCTTTTAGATTTTTTACATTGTCTGGAATAGAAATGTATAGAAACTACCATGGCCACAAAGTGAGGTATCAATTTATATACTGATTGTAATACAGAATTGATCCATCACTTTATGTCCACATAGTTTTTTGTTTGTTTATCAAACTGTGATTAGGTATGAATGCAGCTCTTGTCCTCCCAGCTATGGGCTAAATAGTAAGACTTGTATCACTAAACCATTATTATCTCAAAAAAACTTCTTACAATCTAAAAATATTTTCTGGCTTTAAATAACTGGTAAAGAGTTGAAAACAAATTAATTAATCAATTTTGTGTTCATATATTCTTGTATTTAAATTCCTAGCAGTTTTACCTATATGCTTCTTGTGACTTTTACAGTTTATAATGTAAATTCCAACTTCATCTTTTAACCTGTTATCATTTTGTTTTTTATTAATTAAATCCCTTATTTTCCTAGTAGCAGTTGTAAATATATTGGCTGAGCTTTTCTTATCACAATTAATATAAAATCAAATAAGAAGATTCAAGCTTTATACTTATTTACAGAGTATGAACTAATATGGCAAGGCAATATGTGCTATATCAAGTTTATTTTACCCAAGCCCAAGAAACACATCTCATTTAGCTCTTTATGTTTATAATGAAAGGAAAAGTTTGTATCAGTTACTCATTTATAGAAATTTTCCCTAAAATGTAATATTGTGAATTAATTTTAATTCACAATATTACATTTTAGGGAAAATTTCTATAAAATTGGTGAAATAAAGTTGGTAAATTTTATGACATTCAACCATTGCTAGATTATTTAATGCTGAAATTTGCTTTGGTTATTATTGATTCTATATGTAAACATTGGTTTTGTTTATGTTCAGTGAATAGGCAAACATAGGTCAGGTTTATACTTGAGGCTATAGGTAAATATAGGCTGGTTTTATACTTGAATTCATAAGTAAATATAGTTTAGGTACATAGTTGAGTCTAAAGGTAAACATTGATTAGGTTCATACTTGAGTCTAAGGTTAAATATATGTTGGGTTCATACTTGAGTTTGCAAGATCTTTTGTTGGAGTCTTATGCTTCTGCAGGAGAAGCAGTTAGCAAATTCTAAATGCATAGATGTTTACAACTCTGATGGTTGCTCCTTGTTGTAGTGGAGGGTCTTACATGGTCTAGTGACTCTGTGAATGATACCATCAGGAGTTCTAAACTCCTGGTAGGGTCACTCTTGGTGGCAAAGTCAAAGACAAGGACCTAGACTAAGCTAAAATAACCCCAAAGACCCCAATGGTAGAACAAGTGGATGATGATTACAACAGATCTCAATGGTTGAACCAGTAGATGAAGACGGGCTACTCATGAAGGACATGCTACAGAAGGCGCTATTCAAAATTATAACAGAGTTAGCATCAGTCTATTGCGGTTTCATAAGTGGATTTTGTATGTCTCATTCCATATGTGCTGCAGAAGGTCATGAAATCAAGTGTGTGGGTCACTTCCTGGCAAGTTGAGGCCTACCTTAAAAAATTCATGTCATTGGCATTTTCTTCTACTCTGATTTTCTTTTACCTGCAACCAACTCTTGCAAAGCCAAAGGGAAATAGGAATGGATGACAGGAGCAGGTTTTGGCAAAACTGGAAGCTTCTAGTCCCAAACCTGCATGTTAGCAGTTAATTCAGTCATCAATGTCATCATCATAAAAGAAGTAATCAGTAAAGAAATTAAATTCTTGGATACGCAATAAAGCCACTGCTGCTGAAATGTTTACAAATAGGGCTTCTCCAGTTCAGACACTATCATATAAAAGGATCTTTGTTTTTTGAAGTTTGGCTAGAGATAGTCTCTTTTTGTCTCTGTAACCTCCAGTGATCTTAGAGGTGAGTGCCACCTATCTTGAGTTAACCTAATCAACAACGTTTCACCTTTCCAGATTCAGCTGTTTGACCAACCATAAGATGCATACAAGCAAACTATTGCCAGATTTATAATAATAATAATAAATGCATAGACATATGAAGGATAGGGAGGAAAATACTGACAACTTTTCAGTAGAAAATTTCTTACATTGCTGACTCATCCTGAGTTAAAAATAGATTGTTGTGTAAAACTAATTGTGAAAAAAATTAAGTAGGATGAGTGTTTAATCTGACCAATGCCATAACACAAGTTGAAAGCTTATGGTATTTCTGGCCAAATTTTTGAACTGATCCAGTCTTATCAAATTGTGAATTGAAAGTCATCCTGAACAGCCACTATTCCAGATCTTTTTGCAGTAATGTAGGTGTTCCCCATGACTATATTATTGTTCCTAATTTTCATCAACGCCCTTCCCGATATGATCAGTTTTCAATTTGGTATCTATGCTGATGACACAACTATTTACACCTGTCTTAATAGTAAGTTTGATCAGTTCAATAAAGTCAAATTGTCAGCTGATCTCAAAAATGAGCTACAATCTGCAGTTAATGGAGGTATGGAATGGATAGTTAATTTTAACACCTCCAAAATGAAACTGCTTTCTATCAATCATCTGAGAGAGTCCTTTCTGTCTTCCATCAGTGTGGCTAATGCTAGCCTCCTGGAGAGTGAGTCATTGCACCTTTTCAGGCTAACATTTTCTGTTGACATAAAGTGGAAAGATTATATTAAATAAATTGCTACATCTGCTGCTAGGAAAGTTAGTTAACTGTGTTGTGCTAAACAATTTTTCTCTCCAGAATCTATCTTGCATATTTATAAATCTACCATTTATCAATGCATTAAATATTGCTGCCACATCTGGTCTGGCATTCCTTCTATACGTTTAAAGATTCTTGATAAAATCCAAAGAAGAGTCTGCTATGTTATTGGTCCTGACCTGGCATCTCATTTTTAGTTACTTTCCCACTGCCGTAATGTAGCTTTCCTGTAACTTTTCTATAAATACTTTCATGGTAATTGTTCCGATGAACTTTCCTCTTTGGTACCTAGACTTTATGAATTCAAGCACATAACTAGATTGGTAATTAGGTCTCATCATTTTACAGTAGAAATGCCTAGATGCAACCGTAAGTTCTATGTTAACAGTTTCTTCTTTTGCACTTCTCAATTGTGGAACACTCTTCTGGTTTCTTACTTTCCAGTCAAATTTAATCTCCAAAAATTTAAAATGTAATGTCAATCATTATCTTCCGTCATCTTAATTCTTGTTCTTTTATTATTCTCTCCCCTTTATAGTATTTTCTTTCTTGTACTCTCAAACACTCAGTAACCCATCGCATCTTAGTGGCTTTATTGCCTTGCTTGGAGTGAAATGATTTTAAAAAATTATAAGAGCATTACTTTGTATGTGCAATAAATACTGACACCAGAATGCATAATCATTCACTACTGGAAAGTAAAAGTTAATAATACTAACGAAACACATTAATAATAATAATAATAAAAAAAAATAAAACAAACAAATAAACTTACCAATGAGTGCCTCAGTGTCAAAAAACAAGATATGTGCATCCGGGTTGTTGGTATTTGTACGGACTCCCTGGATAAGCATTGGAGAAGCTTGTGGTTTGATGAGCTCGGCTTTTGTTTCTGGTACGAAGGATGCAATCGGTTGCTGATTGGGCACAGGATTTTGTGTGAGTTTCTGCTGGGCCAGGTTTCGGAATGTAGCAAGGTTACGACGCTTAAGGGCTTGTGTCAGTGTAATACTTGGGTTGGTCAAGGCTTCCACCGCAACAGCATTTTCATCACAATTATTAAGAATCTCTTCAGCAGTAATGCCATGAACACACCGGTCAAGATGACCTGAAGAAAAATGAGAACAAAGTCAGTTATATAAGAATGAAATTATATTGTAAAAGAAAGAACATTAATGAGAGTTATATACTGAATTGTGTGATCCAGATCATATTGTTTTGTATGGATTAATTATTGAATTTTTCTTACTCTTTTGTGAAGCCATATAGGGATGTTATTCCTAATTAACAAAGTAAAATTCTAATCATAACATTTTTGCAAACATTACAACTCCTAAGCAGTAGCAGCCCATAGAAAAAAGCAAATGTCCACACAGAGCACTTACACAAAGACAGCATTTTACCCCTGCACAGAAAAATGAATCAATTAATCAATCAAATGTATGATCCTTATTGAAAGAATAGCTGAGTCTCTTTCTCTGAAAAATGATGACAAAAAGACTCAAGAAATTAACTGTTTCTTTTCCTTTGAAATTCATTTGAATCTAAACAAGATCAAGATATCAGGCATGGTGCCAATCCAGTTCAGAAATATCTAAACTGTTGACTATATACAAGTGCTTTCTAAGATGAATGGTTAATAATGGCTTCAAGCAAGTGAAGACCACACTACTTCGAACCATGTGAACTGGCACTGGGAAATCACAAGGACCTTTACCAAATAACAAAAACTACATCACTTGAAGACTTCCAATAGCAGCAAAAACTAAAATGGGGAGCACATGTAACTAGAAGGGATTGATTGATTTGTTTTTTACAGCTTATCAACCCTTTAAAGCTAAAAAACATTTTGGATTGTAAGTCCTTTTTTGCAAATGAATATTGAATTAACAATTTTTTAAGGATAACAATTTTCTACTATTTAACCAATAGCTGAGTAGACAAGAAACTAGAAGGGAAAATAATGATGTAACTAAGATGTTAGCTTTCTACACTACTTTAAACAAAAGGTTAGAAAGGAAACTCCCATAAATATCAGAAAAAGTAATAACTGGATTTGAGAAGCCTATTTTCCTGAAAAACCATTTTAAATGAAAGATTTTATAAATTTCAACCAACAGTAACACTAACTGTTCAGTCAATGAATGCTGAATGTTTCTTTATAAGGAAACAGCTATCCCTACTATTTAAAAAATAAAATTAATTTTAGTAAATGCAAAAGAATATCATGGAAAATGTTCTAAGGGTTTATTTTGAATGCAATTAAAATTTTCATGCTTACTCACCAGTTTCCATCTGCCAAACATATACAGTTCCATCAGTGCATCCAACGACCATAAAATCATCCAGGGGACGCCATTTAATAACACGTACAGGGAAAAGATGCCGACCAGCCAACATGATGCACTTTCTTTCACGCAAACTCAGCAAAGTAACCGAATGGTCACTAGCAACTGAACATATTGAAGTGAGAATTCGTGGCTGTAAGGTACAAAAAAATACTGGCTGTATTTATTTGCATACAATGTGATCTTCAATATAGTGTGTCTGTTATTACTAAATGCAAAACAAAGAAAAAAAATCAATAATTCTTCAGCTTAATGATCATTTATACAATAAATGTATTTTTTCAACCTCATCTCCTTTGTCAATGCACTTAATTCAAACATAAGCCTAATCTGCATCTGTCTATAAAACAAACTATTTACACTATTTTCATCATTCAGACTGCCCTCATCTTTATTGCCATGTTCACAACATTTCAGCCATTGTATGCTCTGGCCTTCATCAGGTGATATATGTTGGAATTTCAAACCAAACCCTTTAATCCATGTGGGTAGATTATTCTAATTTCATGTGCCATGACTATACGGGATATCTCAGTTTCTGTTAATTCCCTTTAGTAACTCAACTGTCTAAGTTTTTGTTCCCTCTGCTGTGGCCAGGCATTGAACCCACAAGTCACTTGTAAAGTCACTTTTTGGATTACTTCAACCAATGCTTTTATTCACTGGGCCATGTGTCTCCTCTGACCTAGCCCTTGTGGCTCAATGGGCAAAGGAAGGCTCAATAACTGCAATTCCAAACTGGTAACATTCAACTATCACCAAACAAACCCTGACCTTTCACCTATCATGACAGATAAGTGTTCTCTCAAGAAGCTCCTTGCTTTGAATGTCTATTAAGACTCAAGCTTACTCTAGACCTCAACTGGAACTCATATATATGACCTGTTGCTAAAGATGCTGGAAAAATGGATGGTTCCAGTAAGTGTCCAATTCCCCTTACAAGATTACAAAAACTAGATATGACCTAAAATATCTGAACTGGAGCTGACCAGTCCACACTTGATAAAGTTCAAAAGCATCTACTCAGCCTTATGGGTGATGAATTATTTTCCACTCTACAACCTCTTTCCCAGAGACAAAACATCAAAAGCCTCTCAATACTCTATCACTATTTTCATAGCAAATGTTCTGACAAGCTACATTCCTTGGTTCCACCCACACTGACCTTTACAGCTGAGACCTGCCAAGACACATACACAAGGACGAATAATCCTCATTCCATTCATATTCCATTAGTAAGAAGATTCATTTGGACAACTTTTTCCCACAAACGGTTGCTTTGTGGAACAGACTCCCAAAAGGATGTTTTCCCAATCACTACAATCTTAACCTCTTGATGTCAAGTGTTAACTGTTATCTTTCCTACATAAACTGTACATCTTGCCTTCTCCTACAGCCATACAACACTATACAGTAACTTGGGCCTTATATTGAGTGAGCATTAGTATAAAAAAACGTTACATATACACATTCAAAATCAAATTCAGACAAAGCATGATGGACAGAGAATCAGCTCTAGTTTTATGATATAGATTGTGAAAGGTTCATCAAAAAAATTTATAACTACAGCAAAAATTTCCATTAACTACTGTTGAACACAGAAGTGCAATAATAGAAACTCCTGTTGTTAATGAGCTGGCATCAGAATTAAAGGAAACAAACAAACAAAAAAACCAAAAGAAACAAGTAACTTACATTGCAATTGTTGGGTGGTACAAGCAGCTGTGTGATCTCTCCTCCATGAACTGTAAATGTATGAAGCTTGACTCCCTGAAACATATCCCAAAGAATTACAGAGAAGTCTGATCCCCCTGATACTAAATGTTGACTTTCATACCGTGTAGATTCATTGCATGGATACAGTAAACAAGTTACTCGGCCATCATGCCCTGGCACGACCTTTACACTGATTTCTGAAACACAAATTCAAAATTAGAGTATTAATATTAATATCAATTGCACATTGTAAATAATTACAAAACAAGGAATTTCTGGGATGTAGAGTTATCATTATTTACATGCAGAATATTGTTCTCATCTTTATTGTTTTTATCACAAAGCTGTGCCATCCGGCCTTCATCAGATGTATGCCAATTCAGGTAATCTACAGGGAATTTCGAACTGAAACCTTTATTCAATCTACATGGGTAAGCATTGTTCTGTGGAATGAGAACAATCTACTCCCAGGTATATTACTCAGCCCAAAGATTGAACTTGTAATTACTATGTCACCAAATATATGAAGTAAAGCATTAATCAGAGATGTTGAAGGAGGACCGAGGGCACAACAGATTGATAAACAACTGAAGAAATCCAGAGGGCACAACATGATAATAACAATAAAGGTGAGAATTCTAGTCCAAATGCAAATGATGTAAATAATGATAAATCATCTTCCCAGAAATTAATCAAGTAATATCTTTATTTTATTTAAATTATGGAATCAATTATTTTCATTAGTAATTTTGACATCCTGGGTAAGATGATAAACTACATCCAATGGCAAGGCCCCTGATCAGGAGGTTTTGAGGAGTGTGGAACCGCCTCTTAATTGCTGATGTTCTCATGTCCACCCTGACCTAGGGTGGTAGCACCTGTTAGGGTCCCAGCTATGGGCAAATAGTTAACCCCCAAACTGGGGTCAAAACATTGTGAAAGTGTAAAAATAGGTTTTAATACCTGAAATACTTTGTAAAAAAATCATTACCAGCAATACATTTTTGAAAAAATATTACCAGCGATACATATTTGAAGGAAAATTATTGCCAGAAATAGATTTTTGAAAAAAATATTACCAACAATAAAATTTATCGGCATTAAATAACCCATTGAGGTTGATATGCTGTAAAACAAAACAAACAAAACCAAATCATTACTAATTTTGAACTAATTTTCTTCACCTTATTGTTGTTTTTTTATCACAATTACTTAGAGTCTGAATGTTTTCTGTATGTTAAAAGCAGCAGTGCAAAATCAAAATAAAGCTGCTGTATCTGACATAATTTGAACTTATACCTAGGAACATGTCTTACTTTGGTGATGCCTTAACAATTAGGTCACTGATAGCTTACAGCTAAACAGAAACTAAATTTATAGTTATACTACCACCCCTTCTTCCAATTTTTTTACATCAAATTGCTTATTTATTACTAGCAGGAAAAAAGGACTAACTATCAATTGTAAAAAGACAGAATGAATGGTTGCTATCCAGAAGAACACAGATGTGAGCTACAAACAGGAAATGAAGCAAGTACAACAATTTAAATATCTGGTTTAACAGATGACAGAAAATGTGACACTGAAATCTGAAGGGTTATTGAAAGATGCCTTCCAAAAGCTAAACAATGCATTAAGAAATAGGAAAATAAAATATGTAAACAACAATATGGAATATGTAAACAACAAGGAAGTTTCAATGGAAACAAAACTGATATGTGCATTTAGGATCAGAAAGAGAAATTTGATAATTCTGGGATATATAATGAGGGGAAGGAAGAGTTTGGGGGTTGCACTAGTGTCAAAAAGGTAGACATAGGGCGGGTTTGTACAAGAGGTGAAAAAGTAGCCATAAGTTGAGTCAAAAATATGTACAGTAAATATCTGGTGCTATTTGGTACCCCAACTGCATGGGGGGGGATAGAGTCAGTGCATTCTTGATTTTAACTAATAGGGTTGTGACTTTGTTCAGATCAGTTATTTTCAAAGGTATTCTACAGACTGGTAGAGAACTTCCCTTTTTGTTGAATTACAACCAGACATTAGACAATACACTGATCGAATGATTTTCCTTTCTCTCATGATTCAGGTCAAAAGGACACATCATTGTCATAACTCTATCTTATTACATACTTAATGCCTTCAATGTAATCCCCTTGAGATCTCACACATCCCAGCATTCCTTGCAGCCTGCAATATCCTTCTTAAGGACACTCATCTTTGTGTTCTCTTTAATATCATGTACAGTTTGGAAGCTACTTTTCAATGGTGGCTTTAGCTTTGAGAAAAAACCAGAAGTCTCAGTAAGCCAAATCTAGTTTATAATAGATAGCTGACAGATCTAGGTGATGTGATGTTTTACTAAAAACCTCTCTTTGCTGATCTGCTTGCTCCACAGTGGGATCACAAGCAGTCATTTGAGATTTTGGGAATATTTCCTAAGTCATATGTGCTCGTCTGAAAGGATTTCACAACTGGTTTAAGTTTGTCCTAACTTTAAAGCATTTGTCAAGTTAGGAACATTCCACAAGTAATATGTTCTATATATAGGCTAAAAGTAAGCAGTCTCAGGATTTGACAACTGGTCTAACTCTGTCCTAACTCAAAGCATTTGTCAAGTTATGAACATTCCCCAAGTGATATGTGCTATATCTAGTCTGAAAGTAAGCAGTCTCAGGATTTCAGAACTGGTCTAACTCTGTCCTAACTCCAAGCATTTGTCAAATTATGAGCATTCCCCAACTGATATGTGCTATATCTAGTCTGAAAGTAAGCAGTCTCAGAACTGGTCTTTGTTGTCACTCCCAAGTCATTTTTAAAATTATGATCATTTGAAGTTAATCAAAATATTGCAATCATTTATTTTTAGATGATCAGTTCTGCATAGTCAGTTGTTTCTGCCACTTTCTTACAGGAAATTTATTGGAATCTGTTGTATCCTTAAAGAGGTTACAGGCAAAGGTGGTACTTGAGTGAAGGAATAGGAACACATGCATAGATGAAAGAAAGAGAGGTTTATTGTAAAAGAGAATACACTGCTGAAAGACAGGGAATTGGATGGCAGGCTAGTAATTCCCAAAGCAAACCCCCAGGTATAACCTGTGCTTACTATATATATCTACTGATAGTCCGTCCACATAAGGTGATAGGAGTGTTGGACATTCCATTACAACATCTCCCCCTGAGCTAATTTTCTCATGAAATCTTGCTCAATTTTTGGGGTCATGACATAATTGTTTGACTTTTTTCCTCTTCCTAGTACATTTCTGTCTCACCAGCACAAAAAGAATCTTGCTGAAATTCATGTTATAAATGACAAACAGATTTAACTCAACACTCTTAAAAAAAAGAACTACTTTATATGCTCGAGTATAGTGCAAGGTTTTATGATCAGATTTTTTTTACACCAGAAATAGGTAGTCACACTATACACAGGTAATTTTTTTTCCTTCATAAATTATAAATGGCAGCATTGCACAGCAAAATGCAGTAAGTTTATATAAATAACAACTTCAGACAAATTTTATCATGAAATTATTTGTCAAATTCTTCTGTCTCATGAACCATCACCTGTTAATAACAGCTACAAAGCAACCATAAAGTAACGGACACACAAACAAAATCAAACTACTGAAAGTCTTACCTGAACAGGTAGGCTCTTATCAGATAAAAAAAAAAAAATGAGTTTTAAAATACTGACAAAGCATTCTTTTTAATGAATTCTCATTAACAGTTTTTCATTCTTATTAATACCATTTCATTCTTTTTAATTTTCATTAATAGCCACCACATAATCTGGTATCATGAAAATGAAGAATAAAAATAATAGCAGTAAAAAGAAAGATATATATTGAAAAAGAAAACAAAATACACATGCACACACACACACATATATATATATATATATATATATATATATATATATATATATATATATATATATATGGACATAATATGGTACTATGAATTTTTATTTTAATTCTCTCAAATTCTTGGAGCAACTTCTTAATGTTGCTATTCAATTCATTAAGGAAGGTGCCATAGTTTTTTGTTTTTTTTAATTTCTTTTATTTTCCCAAGCTACATATAATATGTCCAGATTACTCAATCAAACATGCTTGAATGAAGATATGCTGCCTCTATATATATATATATATATATATATATATATATATATATATATATATATGACCAGTTGTCACTTCTCACTCTTCAGACTTTTATCAGAGACTAAAAGAAATACACACCACAAATAAAATATGGAGAAAAACAAATTACACACACATACACACATATATGAGTGCCACTATCAAATCTTATCAAAATATAAGTCTGTGTCTCTGATTTTTCAAATACCTCCTTTCCTAAAAGAAATATCTCCTTTCCCAAGCCAACATATTTGACAATACAAACTTTAAAAAATGGTTAAATTCAAAACCTTCTATTATTTAAAATATGTAATATTCATAGTATAATTTTCTCAAAGTAACTTAATATAAATAATATTTACAGTATAAAAAAAGTTCATTAGCAATATTAACCCACTTTCAGATAATAGATATTAAATTACATCACTCAGCATCTTCTATAATTTACCTGGATTTTCAGTCAGCCTGATGTATATTTAGGAGCATTCTTAATTTTTTTTAAATTTTCCTGGAAAACTAACAACATTTTTACTTCTGATTATAAATACTTTTTGGAAAATAAAATCCTTACATTTGCTTTGATAAAGTCCATTACAGGATAAAACACATCAGCTAAGTTTACCTCTTGTCTTTATTCATATTGTCTTTTTACAGATATATATTTTAGTTATATCTGAATTTATATATGTCAAATATTAATATCAGACAGTATTTTTTTAAAAATTAATAAATAAACATTTCCACAAAAACAACCCCCTAATTATGATCTTCAACAGGAAATCAATCAAAATTAGCTACTCCTGCACTATCAACTCCCATAATAATTATATATCAAGTAAATTCTATGAGAAAAACAATAAATCTAGCATGGACCCGCCCCCTGTAATTGCAAAAATAGAGAAAACTACCCAGTTGAGGGCAAATGTAGATCTACTAGGGTAATATACCATTGCCCCTAAAGAAAATATGATAAATTATAATGTTTACATTGGAATTTCTGTGGGTGAATGGAAACAGAGATTTTATACCCATAGGCACTCCTTTACCAA